CGGTAGAGTGCCAGCCTCGAAAAAAGCTAAGAGTTCCCAGGCTCTAACTTTAAGCCTCAGTATTGGTGCACACGCACACACACATGAGCACGCGCGCGAGTGCACACACACACACACACATCTAAGGGGAAAAGATCACACATATTTATAGGATATTTTTTGGGGGGGAGGGAGGAAGCCCAAACCTGGAAATGATGTCCTCTGTCCTCATATCCAAAGGTCAGATTTTTGAGGTCACAGTTTATCAGGTTTTATGAATGGCAAATTAATCTCTGCCCACTGTATGACTGTGGTATGAAAACTGGAAGACACAACTCTGAGCCCTGGATTTGTTTTTGCCTCGGGCTGGTCAGGTGCCTTGGATGTATATTTGTGATGGAGCCTCATGGTTAAGCATCCATGTAGAACTTTCTGCACAGTGAGCACAAAATAGCTAGTGGAGGTTTGCCAGGCTAGGACTAAGGAAATCTCTTTTCTTGTTCTTTCTTTCAGACTTTGGTAAGGATTGCTTCCCCAGTGCAGTCTTTTTTCCAACTGGTCATCAAGTACTTTTATAATTCCAGCTATTACCAAAAATACAAAAGTGAAAATGGCTACAGTATGATCAAAAAGAGAGCAAAAGTCCTTTTCTGAGTCTTTGTGAAAATTTTTTAATAGACAGGACTAAATTGTCACACAGACATTTTGTTGGGAATTGAGTCACCCCAAAAGAACAATTTTCTGGAATCTAACAATACCTTGCAAAGTTTGAGACATACCAGATTGGCCAGTTTGCCTCTTGACCTGGACATTCCAAAGCACTTACAAAATTTATGGCCATCTTGGTTTGTGCCAAATGTGGCTCAATCCAATTTATCTCCCTTAAAGAATGCTAAGGCTGTACCTCCCCTTCTCTAGGCTGGGAAAACCCAAGTTCCCTTTCCTTATAGGCTGGCTCTTTCTAGCTGAGCCTGTGTCTGATTTGCAAATCTTGTCTGCACCCAAACAAAACTATCTCTGCTTCTATTTTAACCTGTCTGTGGTTGGTTTGTAATGTGTAGCAGCTTCGTAATATTGTTCTGTGACTCCATTTGGGGACTTTTAGCTTTCTTCTATAAGTCTTACTGTTCCTCCTCATTCTTCAAATTCTTTTTTTTTTTTTTTTCCAGTCATGGGGCCTGAACTCGGCTTGGGCACTGTCCCTCAGCTCTTCAGCTCAAGGCTAGTGCTCTACCACTGGAGCCAAGTACCACTTCCAGCTTTTTCTGCTTATGTGGTGCTGAGGAATCGAACCCAGGGCCTCATGCATGCAAGGCAAGCACTCTACCACTGAGCCACCTTCCCAGCCCTCATTCTTCAAATTCTTGAGGACAGAGTTATATACCTCTTTTCTTTCTAACTCTTGGGGCTTTCTGATCAGAACTTTGTATTGAGCAGGCTGAAATTTCCAAAGAAATAAAAAATCAGTAGATGCCCTTGTTTTTTGTTTTTGTTTTTAGTTGGTCATGGGGCTTGAACCCTGAGTCTGGGTGCTGTTCCTGGGCTCTTCAACTCAAAGTGAGCACCTACCACTTGTGCCACAGCGCCACTTCTGGTTTTCCGGCGGTTCATTGGAGATAAGAGTCTCACGGACCTTCCTGCCTGGGTTGGCTTTGAACTATGATCCTTAGATCTAGGATTACAGACGTGAGCCATGGGCAATGATTAAACCTCAGAAACTATCTTAAGAGACCCCACAAGCACCATGGCATTGACTTCTTTAAAACTGATTTGTTCTGGGAGAGAGTGAGGGAAGGAGTGGCATTGTCCAAAGAGAAATGGCCTCTTTTTCCTAACTTACGTAACTGTAACCCCTTGGTATGTCACCCTTATAACAACAATAAAACAGTGATTTGCTGAACTGGACATTTGCGACATGGGCCTTCACACCCTTCATCCTAGCTACTCTGGCTGAGATCAGAAGTCTGACTGATACCTAGCTACAGGCTGAGATCTGAGGATGGTTGCAAAGTCATCCAGGGCAGCAAAGTTGGTGAGACTCTTACCTCCAGCAAAAAGCTGGATATGGAGATGTGGCTCAAATGGTAGAGTACCAGCCTTGAGCAGACAAATAAGTGAGAGCATAAGGCCTTTAGTTCAAGTCCCAGTGCCAACACATACACAAACAGAATGGTTAACTGAATGATTGCCAAGTTTCCCTTTTCTTGCTTCTTTTTCTTTTACAAGAGGAAATTTTATAGACTAAATTTATGGGCAGTAACTAACGTAAGCTTATAAATACTTTTAAATTGAGATTACATCTGTGAATCAGTAGAAGATAAAATCTCTTTCCCCAAATTACACGAATTACGATGCTTCCAAGGATATATGTATGGGTTTGCCTAAAACCTCAATTAGTTATTAAATTGAGCCTGGTCTGAATCAGAAAAACCATCAAAATGTTTTGGAAAACTTTTGTGAAAACCTCAGTAGGAATCTGGAAGCAACATAGACAAACCACAGCAGTTCATATAAGGAACAGTTTCTCTTCCCAATTTTCAAAAACAATCATTGTTGTTGGCTTTTGAAAGAAAAGTTGGCACAATTTTAAAAGAAATCCAAACCATGTTTAAAATGGGATCAGGAAAATCCCACATTCCCCCCAAGCCCCAAGGTATAAGCCTTTCCAAAATAGGACATTTTATTTTATTTTGCCAGTCCTGGGGCTTGAACTCAGGGCCTGAGTACTCTCTGGAGCTTCTTTTGCTCAAGGCTAGTAGTACTCTACCACTTGAGTCACAGCACCACTTCCAGCTTTTTCTGTGTATGTGGTTTTGAGGAATGGAACCCAGGGCTTCATGCCTGCTAGGCAAGCACTCTACCACTAAGCCACCTTCCCAGCCCCAAAATAAGACCTTTTAAAAACCCAGAGGCTGGGAGGTTTTGTTCAATTTATAAACTTTTTGTTAATACATTTTTTTGTGTGTGTGCTGTTCCTGGGCCTTGAATTCAGGGCCTGGGCACTGTCTATCCCTGAGATATTTTTGCTCAAGCCTAGTACTCGTACCACTTGAACCACTGCTTCACTTCCAGTGTTTTGGTGGTTAGCTGGAGATAAGAGTCTCATGGACTTCCCTGCCTTGGCTGGCTTCAAACTGAGATCCTCAGCTCTGTAGTTCCTGAGTAGCTAGGATTACAGGCATGAGCCACCAGTGCCTGGCTGTTGTTAGCTTTTGAAATTGGCTTTTCACACAAGTTCTGATCTTGTTTTACCAGTACTGAAGATTGAACCTAGGGCTTCTCTCATGCTAGCTAAGTACTCTACCAATTGAATCATGCCCCTCACCCTATTATATTATTTTGAGGCCTTCAATTTGTGGTCCCCCCCCAAAAAACCCTTAGCCTTCCTTTTCATTGCTGTCTCAGAGAGATCTTGACTAATGTCAAGCAAGTGGGTGTAATGCGAACCTTGCATTCCCTCATCCAGCTCTTTCCACTTCTGGGCAGTTCCTGAGAAGGGACAAGTTCTCTGGGGAAGGAGAGGGGGCTTTGCAGCCACGGGCTTGCTAGCTGAAGAAAGTGCAAAATTAACCTTTACATGGTGTGGCTTCCAGGAGACGGTGGCTCAGGCCTGTAACCCTTAGCTCCTCAGAGGCTGAGATCTGAGGATGGTGATTTGCAGACAGCCCAGGCAGGAAAGTCTGTGGCCTTTTTTGGGGGGTAGGGTAGGGGGACAGCCAGTTGTGAGGCTTAAACTCAGGCCTGGGCGCTGTCCCTGAGCCTTTGAGCCTTTTTGTGCTCAAGGCTAGCGCTCTACCATGTGAGCTACTTCTGGTTCTGAGTGGTTGATTGGAGACACAAGTCTCACGGGGACTTTTCCAGCCTGGGCTGGCTTTGAACCGCAAACTGTCGACCTCGGCCCCCAGCTAGGTTGTTTTTGTTGTTGTTTTTAAATGTTTTCGGTTAAAGGGTTGAGGTGATTCTGGATGAGTACAGAGCTGTTACTTAGGGCTCAACACACTGCCAGGTTAGCGCTGTAATCCCAGCTACGCAATGATCCTGAGATCTGAGGATCATGCTTCAAAGCTAGCCTGGCCAAGAAAGTCTGCGAGGCCCTCACCTTCAATTAACCAGCAAAAAGCCCGAAGTAGAGCTGTGCCTCAAGTGGTAGAGCGCCAGCCTTGATTGGAAAACACCTGAGGGACAGCTCAGGCCTGGAATTCAAAGCTCATTTCCAAGCCCTCTCCAGAGCCCTGGGCGCTCACGCGCGCATTCGCGAACACACAGCAAGTGCCAAACAAAAGCTCCCGATGGCCTGCGTGTGGGGCGACAGCTGCGCCCCTCGCCGGCCTGGGCCCCAGCTGCCGGCCCCGCCGCCCCGCGCTCAGGCCCAGGCTCAGGCCCCGCCGCCCCGCGCTCAGGCCCAGGCCCCGTCGCCCTGGCATCGCCCCCGCGCTCAGGCTCAGGCCCCGCCGCCCCGCGCTCAGGCCCAGGCTCAGGCCCGCCGCCCCGCGCTCAGGCTCAGGCCCAGGTCCCCGCCGCCCCGCGCTCAGGCTCAGGCCCCCGCCGCCCCGCGCTCAGGCTCAGGCCCAGGTCCCCGCCGCCCCGCGCTCAGGCTCAGGCCCCCGCCGCCCCGCGCTCAGGCTCAGGCCCAGGCCCCCGCCGCCCCGCGCTCAGGCTCAGGCCCCGCCGCCCCGCGCTCAGGCCCAGGCCCAGGCCCCCGCCGCCCCGCGCTCAGGCTCAGGCCCCCGCCGCCCCGCGCTCAGGCTCAGGCCCAGGTCCCCGCCGCCCCGCGCTCAGGCTCAGGCCCCCGCCGCCCCGCGCTCAGGCTCAGGCCCAGGCCCCCGCCGCCCCGCGCTCAGGCCCAGGCCCAGGCCCCCGCCGCCGACCCGGGGTGCCCCACGCGCGCGCCGCCGCGCCGCCCGCGCGCTGTGTACCGGTTGCCCCGGGAGACGCGGCCGCCCCGGTGGCTCCGCGCGGCTGCCGGGCTCGGGCTCCTCGGGTCCCGCCGCGTCCCGGCCCGCCGCCGCGGGGTCGCCAGCATGAGCCGCCCTGGTGCCTCCGGCTCCCGGAGCCTGGACCGCTCCAGCGCCCCCGCGCCCGAGGTACGGTGCCAGCGGGTAGGGGCCCGGGGCCAGACGACCCCCGGGAAGGGCCGGGCCGTCCCGGGGCTCGCGATCGCACGGGGGGCCCAGGGACCCGCGCGGCGGGCAGATCGCGGAAAGGGCCGGCAGGTGGGGGGGGCAGGTGCGGTGACCCTGGGGCAGCCCCCCACCCGCCGGCCCTTCCTCCCCACCCCTCTCCCCCCCCACCCCCTCCACTCCCCAGCGGCCAGGGCATTTCGGAGGAGGTCACCGCCCCAGAAACCCAACCTCAGTCATCCCTGGATCCCTTTACTTGGGGGCGGGGGGGGGGTACCTTGACTTTGGGGACTTAACAGGTGTCAGATACGACACACACAGAGCTATACACAGACACACAGATACACAGACACAGACAGACACACAGACATAGAGTTGCAGGCATACAGACACACAGATACACACAGAGAGACACACATACACCTATAGAGACACAGACACACACACAGAAATACACACAGAGACACAGACACAGAGCCACATACAGACACACATACACAGAGATACACAGACACAGACAGGCAGACATTAGACTTACAGACACAGATACACACAGACAGACACAGACACACACAGAAACACAGACACACAGCACATACACAGATACATATGCAGACACACAGAGACACACAGACACGTACAGGCACACATAAACACACACAGACATACACATGCACACGCACAGAGGAAATTCTGGGTGCATCTCCAGCTCCAGCATGAGGCATGTGTGTGGCAGCTGCTAGGGAGGGTGGAGAGGAACCCGTGGAGCTGTAACCTGGGAGCAGCCCTGAGAACACAGGCGTCCTGGGGAAGCTAGCCTGCCCTCTCCTCCTGCTCCCTGCCATCCCAGTGCTCAGCGGCTCGAATGCTGTCTGAACCCACCCATTGGGGCTTCTCTGAATCCCGACACACTTGTGAAAAGTAGTGGTGGTGTTACAAATAAAACTAACTCTCCTACCATCTGGTAGTTCCATATTTGACATGACTACAGTTTATCCCAACACTATGTGAATTCAGAGGTCTGTACATAAAGTGTGAAATACTGGATGTCATTTATATGTTTTTTGTTGAGTGTTTAAGTAAATTATAGACATCATGTCCCATCCATCCTAAATACCTTCTGGTCTTTTAAGAAAGAATTCACTAACCAAAGTACACTGATCAAATTCAGAACATTTATCATAGTTACAATAATATTACCCAATATACATTATTCAAAATTTTTTTGATCGGTTGTGGGGCCTGAACTCTGGGCTTGGGCGCTGTCCCTCAGCTCTTCAGTTGAAGGCTAGCGCTCTACCACTTGAGCCATAGCACCACTTCTGGCTTTTTTCTGCTTATGTGGTGCTAAGGAATCGAACCCAGGGCTTCATGCATGCAAGGCAAACATTCTACCACTGAGCCACCTGCCCAGCCCACATTATTCAAATTTTGACCTGTAACTTAATGATTTGTTGCATTTATTCCAGTATGATGCATTGTATTTATTTATTCCAGCTCTTTAGTTTCTTTAAATCTGGAATAGTACCTCAGCTTTCTGGAACTGATGATTTGATTTTTGGTAGGACACTAATATCTAAGAGACACACGTCTGAAAGCCAGGTGGCGCCAGCGGCTTAGGTCTGTGATCCTTGCTACTCAGGAGGCTGAGATCTGAGGACTGAGGCTGAACGCTTATCCAGGCAGACATAATGCAGATCTCCAATTAACCAAACAAAAAGCTGGATGTGGAACTGTAGTTCAAGTTCTAAAATATTGGCCTGGAACCAAAAAGCTAAGGGACAATGCCCAGGCTGTGGGTTCAAGCCTCAGTACCTGCATGCATTCTCTTTATCTTTCTCTCTCTCTCACACACATGAGCAATGGAAAAATAAGAATTTACAATCAAGATGAGCCATATTTAGTGCTGAGCTTGCATCCAGCTGGATTTACCTGCAATCAGATCATCAACAGAGCTTTACTGGGCTGGAAAATTGATGAATACTTTCAACAATAGTACAAAAATGGAAGTAGAAAGTGAAGAGGAAAGAGATACTGTTTGAGTTGGGACAGTGAACTGTGTCCAGCATTTATACAAGCTATTGAATGAGCGATGAATCTGAAATACACAGGAGTACCACCAGTTGCAAAAAGCCATTGAAGTAATTAAGAGAAAAATGATTTAGATTTGGTGTTAGGCCTATGACAAATGGCGGCTCACCCACTGTTTTGCTTACTGATCCTGAATCAAAATTTTGACTCCAATACAAGCCTTAGTTGGGAAACAGAGCAAGTTCCTTTCCTCTTTGTAAAACAGGACTGGATCATTATGAGAAACAAAAACAAATAGCAATGCAGCCTCTTAACATAGCAATAAAGTCTCTTAACCCATCAAATATCAACATAATAGAAGAAAGATGTTTCCCTTTCTGCATTTTGACTTTCTCAAAGTGGGCCTGGTGATATGTCACTGTAGGCCCAACTATGTGGGAGGCTGAGGAAGGAGGATCTGAGGCCACAAGTTTGAGGCCAGCCTGGGCAGCACAGCAAGATGGGTTCGCCTTAAAAAAAAAAAAGTTTTAAGAACAGTTAACATAAAATTCCAGGCACTGGTGGCTCACGCCTGTAATCCTAGCTACTCAGGAGGCTGAGATCTGAGGATCCCAGTTCAGAGTCAGCCTAGGCAGGCAAGCCCATGAGACTTTCATCACCAATCAACTACCAAAAAAGCTGAAAGTAAGGCTGTGTCTCAAATGATGGAATGCCAGCCTTTAGTGAAAACAATAACAACTAAGGACAGTGCACAGGCCCTGAGTTCCAGCCCCAGCACTGGCACAAATAAAACAAATAAAATACACAATGTCACCCATTTGTAAATATGCAGTTCAGGGGCATTAAGTACATTTTCAGATTGTGCAACCATTTACCACCATTCTTCTGTATTTGTTCATCTTGCAAAACTGAAGCCCTGTGCTCATTAAACAGTGCACCTCCCTTCTGTAGTCCCAGAGAACCACCACCGTGCTTCTAGTTTCCATGGATCTGACTCTAGGTACTTCTCACAAACAGAATCGGATTGTACTTGTCCTTGTAACTGGCGTATTTCATCCAAAGGGATGTCCTCAAGGGTCATGTACGTTGTGGCGTGTTTTTAAGGCAGAATGATAATCATTGCATGCTTAAATATCTCCTTGGAAAGTGATGCCTTTAATGCTTCTGGATATGTATATATATATGTGTGTGTATAGATATGTATACTTACATATGTATACCTACATATGTATCAGTGGAATTGCTGGATCATATGGTAGTTCTATTTTTTTTTTTTAATTTAGAAATTGCTATGTTGTTTTCTATGGTGGTGTATGGTTTTACAATTTCTACCAGCAATGTACAAAGTTTCCAAATTTTCCACATCCTTGCTCCCATTTTGGCATTCTGTGTGTGTGTGTGTGTGTGTGTGTGTGTGTGTGTGTGTGTGTGTGTGTGTGTGTTGTCACCATTCTAGTGGGTATGGAATAGTATTCTTGTTATGTAGCTCAGGCTACCTTCAGACTCCTATTCTCTTGCCTTAGCCTGTGAATTCTGGGATTACAGGTATACCTGACTCTATTTCTGCTTTTTAAAGAATAATTTCCTCACTCCTCTAGGGTTTTTTTTTCTGTTCTATTTTTTTCTTCCTCCTTTTTGTCAAAATTAAAGAAAACGTGATTCTGATTACATGTCTCCATATAACTTGTGAGATTGCTCTGTTTTCCAGATATAAAGAAAAAAATTCAAGGAAAAGAAACAGAGAAGGGGAAAAAGCACAGAATTGTAGTTGAAAGCAATATGCATGTAACACTAATGATAATAAATACATGGGCTAAATGCTCAATTAACTGACACAGTCAGACTTTTAAAAAGTATTCATGTACATGTTATTAATGAAAGATACAGCTAGACAAAAGAGTATAGAAAGGATGAGAGAAAAATTGCATGAAAAGATATACCAGGCAACTAACAACACAAAACTCATTATCATGCTAGTATTATACAAAATACAAAATTAATATTGCACAAAATGCAAAATATAATTAGAAGTAAATAGTCATCACAAAATTATAAAATTTCCATTCATTAAGAAAGTTAGGGGGCTGGGAAGGTGGCTCAGTGGTAGAGCGCTTGCCTTGCATGCATGAGGCCCGGGGTTCGATTCCCCAGCACCACATAAACAAAAAGAAAAAAGCCGGAAGTGGCGCTATGGCTCAAGTGGTAGAGCGCTAGCCTTGAGCTGAAGAGCCGAGGGACAGCGCCCAGGCCCAGAGTTCAGGCCCCACGACCGGACCCAAAAAAAAAAAAAAAAGAAAGTTAGGGCTGGGAATATGGCTTAGTGGTAGAATGCTTGCCTGCTGGTACCACATAAACAGAAAAAGCTGGAAGTGGTGCTGTGGCTCAAGTGGTAGAATGCTTGCCTTGAGCTGAAGAGCTCAGGGACAGTGCCCAGGCCCAGAATTCAAGCCCCATGACTAATAACAACAACAAAGAAATTTAAACAATTATATATATATGTATATATTAGATATGAACCTAACACCATAACCTCAGAATAAAAGAACAAAAATGGAGGGAAGATGGGCGCTGGTGGCTTATGCTTGTAATCCTAGGTACTCAGGAGACTGAGATCTGAGGATCGGAGTTTTTAGACAACAGAGCAGAAAAGACTGAGAGATTCTTATCTTCTATTAACCAGCAAAAAGCTGGAAGTGGAGGTGAGACTTAAGTGTTAAAACACCAACCTTGAGCAACAAAGGTAAGGAATAGCCCCTGGGCCCAGAATTTGACCCAGTACTGGCACCAAAAAAAAAAAAAAGAATTAGATGAATAATTTGATGATTTCTCCTTGTTCTAAATTAAAAACATTTATGCTCTACAAATAATCAACCATGAAAATTGCATGCAGTATGGAAATGCAGAGTCCTGATCAGAAAAGGGAGTTTAGTAGAACAAATGGTGAAATTGGAATAAGGTTTAGTTAATAGTATGGTAATAATGATACAGTAGTGTGGTTCCTTGGTTGGAATAAGTATGGTAATGGCAGATGTCAATGTTGGGGAGGTGTTGGATGAGGTATA